GAAATGTAAAAGGAAAGAAGAAGTAGACAGCACAGGGGAAATATAAGAAAATTAGATACATTAAATTTTGTATGCTATAGGGTAGATGTACTAAACGGGCAAATTATTGTGATGCTTCAATCATAGTTAGAGGGAGTTAGAGGGCTCTAACTGCCCTATGATTTATAGAATAAAACAGAACCAGTTCACTTCAGTAAAAACCAAAGTTCTGCCAAGACAGGTTTAAGATGTCGATGAAGAAATGAAATAACAAATCTGTTTACTAAGTGCTAATATTGATTTGCACATTACCACCACAGTACTGTTTTATAAAAACAGATAGATAATATGTGGCAGGAAACAGGCCGGCAACCTCATTGATTAAAAGTTTTGCTCTTAAATTTACAGTTTCGTAAAAGTAAATTTGCCAATATTTTCAGTTGAATAACAAACTTATTATTGTTCAAATGCCCTCTAAAGTCTGGAGTGGGTTTTCAGATGGAGATATTATATAGCAGCTGGGTTTAAGGAAAAATGAGCACAGCTTTAAATATCCACACCATCTGTGTCAGTAACAAAATAAATGTCAAAAATGAGATTGTGCTGCTTTTTACTTAAATGTAACATTTCAACCTAAAATCAAAACATTTTATGCACATGTATTTAAAAAAAAATGTTTTCTAGAATATCAAACTAGCTGTACTCAAAGAAAGATGTGGTTCAGCAATTGCAATCTTACATTGAGAAACAATATGCTAAAAATATTTGACCTGGCCATCACATGTCTTAGCAGCCAGGTTAGACTGATGCATCTTACAAGACTAGCTAGAAAAGAGAAGGAAGAAAGGTCTAGATGTGTAAGAGGGTAGTGGCCTCTTCAACCTCTGTGCTCTTTCTCAACTTGTATTACAAAACACAGATCAAGTCTTGTATTATATATCTTTATTCTTAAAGCATCAGAGCCTGGAATATCATCCTAAAGAATGAAATTACAATTTTCCAAATTCTTGAGTATTAAGAAAATTTTGAAATCTAGGCAGTATTAAATTAATCACCTTTTAAAACATGCAGCATATTATCTACTACTAGAGGTGGGAAATAATGAAGTACAGACAATTCATTTCTGTACTTGAGTATTTATTTTTCTGACAACTTTTTGACTTTCACTCCCAGTGTTTTTCTACTCCTTACGTCAAAACGGGCTCGTTACTTTAGGTTTGATGCATTTGAGGAGAGTTATTATTTCATGTCACTGTGGACCTTGACACATCAAACCAATTTGACCCTAAACAGAAAAAAATGAAAAGTCAGCTGGGCATACATTGTTCGATTTTTTCAGTCGCGTTGGTCAGCTCCTGCTCAAACTGTACGATTGAATTGCAGGGATTAGAAGTTTGTTGGTCATGATGCAGGGTCTCACACTATACAGCCCAATGCTCTGATGCGACCTGAGTGCTCACACTGCGTCTATAACATGAAGTGATAACATGAAGCTTATAACACAAAATCTGTCTCTCGCTCTCCTTCTCTGTCTTTCACTCACACAGACACACACACCACCATCAACTTTGAAAAACATTTACCAGGCAGCTGCAATTGAGCAGCAATGTCCATCTCTTTTCACGGTTGGTGCGGCCGTGATAATTTTGTGAGGACATCGAAAAGGCTCGGATGAGCTTGCTAATGTTCTACAAGTTGTGCCTCCATC